CGCCCCGCCTCGCCCCGCCTCGCCCCGCCTCGCCCCGGGGCCCCCCGAGGGGGCGCGCGCGGCGCACGCGACGGCGGCCCCGGGCGACATCCCCGCGGCCGTCCCCGACCGCCGACGACCACACCGCTGCCGCTGCCGCCGCCACCACCACGACGGCGACAACGCCGTATCGAAGTCGTACACTAATTTAATTTTGCCCGTCCCGCCCGCCCCGCGGCCGCAGGCCACGCTCGCTGCCCAGCAGGGGGCGCGGGGGCGCCAGGCGGCGCCGGGGAAGCGCGCTGTTTGGAGCACGGCGACGACGTCGCAGCTGCCGCCGCCGCCGCTGTCAGTTCGGCTCCGCTGGGCTCGTAACTTCTTGCAAGGCGCCGCCACCGCCGCCGCCGTCGTGGGACACGCCCGGATAAAAACATACCCGACGCGCCGACGACGACCAAGTCGACGAATTAACGGAGGGGGTTGGGGAAAGGGGGGGAGGCGGGCACCAGAGGCAAGAACACCATCAGGGGCGGGGCGCGGTGCAGGGGTCGTTCAACCCTCGGGCCACTCAGCCCGGGGCGGGGCGGGCGGGGGCGGGGCGGGGCGGGGCGGGGCCGCGTGCCGACACCGTCGTCACCCCACGGCGACCCGTCTCGCTCGTATCCGGGCCGGGGGTGAGGACTTGTGCCCGCGGAGCACGCGGAGCCCGCGACCCGACAGCCTCGGGGGTGCGCTGCAGACGGGGCTGAGTTCGTGGCCAAGTTCGGCGGCCTCGGTCGGACAACGCGGAGACCGCGGCACAGCAACCTGCGGCCCGGGTCCGTCGTCGGTCCACGACGCCCGGGAGTGCGTCCACGTTGTCTAGGGGGCTGACAGCCCGCGACCGGGGCTATTGAGCCCTGGCATGGAGGCTGGCGAGGAAGGGCGGGGCAGGGCGGCCAAGGCTGAGCAGGCCAACCCGAAGGGTTCCGTCCTAGGGTATTGATCGGGGAGGAGTAGCGGTTTGGGAGGGCGGGGTGGGGCGGTGAGGTGGGGTGCGGTGCGGCGGGGCGCGCGGGGGCAAGGACGGAGAGCACAGGGTGACGGTACGGCGACGAGCGCGCGGGGCCGGGGGGGCCCTTTGCTCGTAGACGCGGCGGTAGAGGTTCTCTGCGGAGGGCCGCGGATGGGGTGG